TCAGTTTAGTCGGAATAAATAAATTAATCCTAATTTTATGAAATAAACTTTTTCAAGATTGCCGTTATGTATATAAGAATACAGTGCAATCCCTTACAGAAATTTCATGATAATCAGTGCAAACTAATACCTATTTCATACCTATGCAAACTAATGTTTTCAGTCGCATTAGGCGCATTAGGCTTTTTACCACATAAATAACATATCTTGACCATTTTTGCCTGTGTACAACAGCACACATCTAATAAGCATAACGAGCATAACCTGTTCGCGTCATCTCACTGATCGCACTCTATTTTCCTATTGGCGGATGCAATCAATCCAACGCATGCGCACAACACTCAAAGTACTCTTAGAAAGAGAGGGAAATATATATTCCCGCACCGTGCTTCTGGGACCGCTTCCTCTCACTTCCTCTTATAGGCACTAGCCATATAGTAGTATTACATATATGCTTCATTGGCACTCAGAGTCCGAAAGCTTCCGAAAGCATCCGAAAGTAGCCGAATGTGACGTAAACTGTGTGATGCGCAAAGGCTTTCTAAATTCGTCCACCGGATGAGCATACCCTTGTCTTTATACCATGGTCGCACCGAACCTCGCGACGGATGTGACGTCTAGAAAAGTAGAGCTCTCATTGGCTGCGTTCAACAGAAAAAGCAGCTTTGCAACTGTTGTAAAATTTTTGAATATGATTGGCTTATACATATAGATCTAATGAGGAAGTAAAGGCAAGATCAATCATATTAAAGAATTTTGCAACAGTTGCAAAGCTGTTTTCTCTGCTGAACGCAGCCATTGGCTATTACTCGTCGGGCATCGCTCATCGCATCAGATAAAACTTCACCATTTCACAAGCGACATCGCATCGAACCTCGCGACGGGTGTAACGTCTGGAAAAACAGAGCTCTCATTGGCTATCGCTCGTCGCGAATCGCCTATCGCGTCAAGTGTGAATTAGGCTTAACGTCTGGAAAAGCAGAGCTCTCATTGGCTATCGCTCGTCGCGAATCGCTTATCGGGTCCAGTGTGAATTAGGCTTTAAAGGTGCGTCACGATGGAGAAAGAAATACCGGAACGGAATGAGAACGGAACATTGATAGAAAAGAGATAGGATTGTTCTATCTCTTTTCTATCAATGTTCCTTTACTGTTCCGTTATTTCTGTCTCCATGTGACTGCAAAGGGTGTGATTACATACAGCGCGGTACGCGGTACGCGGTAGGCGGTAGGAGGTAAAGTAACCAGGAACCGCGGCGGCAAGCCGCGGTACGCGGTACGCTGTATGCGGTATACATACGCGGTGAAGTAACTATAAGGTAATTAACCTGAAAAGTTAACACAAATGTCTTCCAAGTGGCCAATAAAGCGCATGGTAATTATTAGATTTAATCGATTTAATAATGTTATCATGGCCAGCAACATCATATCTGCAGTCTCCATGACAAAAACAGTCTTTAATTAATACGAAAATCGTTTTTTTTTTCTACCAAACTCCGAACTCCGAAATTATTTCTTTTTACTTGGCAGTATACACAGTATATACCTGTGTTAATTTCTAATTATGCACCCAGCTGACCGAGCCGATGCCGACCATGTCGTTATCGTTCCGCCTTTCTTTTTTCTTACTATTACATGGAACGCGGAAAGGCGGCACGGTATAGTGACAAGTTCACATTTGTATGCATTTTCTTAAATGTATTAACTTATTTCTATGCACATTTTATCAATAATCTTATTTTTTCATCGAATCTGCTTAATAATTGCATTTAAATCTATTAATTTCATTAAAAAGTGCATAGTAACGTCAACTTGTTACTAGTCCGTGCCGCTTTTCGCGCAGTTTTGGCTCCATGTAATAATAGGAGAAAATTAGCGCGGTTTACCGCGCGCAGTTCCTAGTTACTTTACCGCGTACCGCGTTCCGCGCTGCATGTAAAATCACCCTAAGCATATACGTAGGTTTAAATATGTCGCTAGCTTCCCACACTCTTCATCACGTGACACCTATTTCGCTACTTCCGAGTCACGACCATGGTGGTGCTGAAAATTGTCTCCTCGTCTCCTTTTTCCAAGAGAAAAGTTTAGACTCCCGGCGCAAATATGGGTTTCCAGAATATTTGGTATTCACATCCACGAAAATACGGTCAAGGATCTAGATCCTGGTTAGTATAATGCTTTTCTTGTTCTCGCTAATTTTATTAACGATCATTTATACTTGGCATTTTTATAATTGTATAACTTATAATTGTAGAATAGAGCGATCGCGTGGCGTCGTCATGAACGTCGCTATACAGTATTAACCACAAAAACTCGATTTAAAATAAAAAAAATTGATAAAAAAATTAACGTTTAAAATAATTATAATATATATGTTTTATTGTAAATTATTATCATCTATGCAAACATACATCTAAATACGCAATCTAACCTCAAAAAAAGCACGTTGGAGGGATGGATTATTTTAATTGCAATTTGCTAAACTAAAATTGTTCCTTTTCTTTTCTTCTAAATGTTTTAAATGTAGGAAATACAGGTGAAACAAATAGATGTATTATTTTCGAATCAAGTTAATATTTACTATGTATATTTATTGGTATATGTGTGACGCTAATGCATTTATTGTATGATCTGAATGAAATTGATTTGGTTGCAGCCGCGCCTGTGCAAATAGACATGGGCTTATTCGCAAATACGGTTTGAACATATGTCGACAGTGCTTCAGAGAATATGCAGCCGATATTGGTTTCAAGAAGGTAAAAAAAATATCTATTCATATCTTTGCTATTTTATAAAGACTGCGTTTAATTTCAATATACTGTAAGTTTTATTCTATTATTATCACTTATTACTTAGGGAAGGAAGATAGAATAAAGCTTATAACATGTAAGCATCAAAATTGGACACAGTCGAAATAAAAAGATATCTCACAGCTAAATATATCTTGTTTGTTCTTTTTACAGTTGGATTAAATATAATATAGGAATGATTGGAGCATTTTCTGACAAATCACGATGATTTTTGCAGCAACATCTTTGAAAGCTAAAGAACAGAGATTGTAACATCTGACACTCAACATTCTTGAAATGAATATATTTATATAATCCAACATTTTTTTATTCTGTACATTCTTTTCACATCCTTCTATACATATAAATAGCTTTTCATTAATTTTCCTGAAACACAAAAATGTGACTAAAATGATTTATTAATATAGCAACCATATCTATTAATGTTTTCAAAAATGTAAAACATGGTCAATATTAGGCAAAAGTAAGATATCCATTTAAGAATTTATTGCGTCGCAGAAAATAGTATTTTTTCAACATTTTTTATAGAATTTTTATTCAAAATTTTACATCTTGGTTTTCATATTAAAATTAGGAGGTAAAATCTATTTTTCAAAGATCTATAATTTGAATTCAGGATAGAGAAATTTTACTTTATAACTTATAAGTTCTATGATACCAAAAATAAATTTTTTTATGAATGTAAGTAATCAAAGTAGGTATGTATATATGAAAGTACAGCATATATATAATTCTAGTATCAGAATGGATTGAAATGGATTAAAATGGATTTAGATATTCAGAAATATGGATTCATGAATGTTAAAATTAATTCTTTCCAATCCGAATACGTTTTTATTCATTTATAAGAATTGCATGGAACAACATATCTGTATACCTTTCTAAAAATATCAGTTTTTTCAGTATGTTTGTGACCATAGTGAATACTGTACAATTTAAAATTTTGAATAGTAAAGTTTTTCAATCCAGTTGCATCCAATTGAAACCAAAAAAGTTTTCACTGTTTAAAATACGAATTCGAATAGACAAAATGTCCAATCCATTTTAATCCATTCTCGGATGCTGGGATTGTAAATAAAATTTGAAAATTAAATTATAAATATTCTTAATTTTTGATTTATAAATATTCTGTTTTTTTTTAACTGCGTTATACATTTTATACGCTTTAAACTAGAAGTGCGTTCCACTTAACGATCGCATGTATCATATCTCATCCTTATTTTATTCGATTACAAGAAGGACAAAATGATACTCGGGAGCGTTGCGAACGTCAAGTGGAACGCACCCTAGATATACACATGAGGGCATATAGTTATTTTTTCCATAGATGTCTGGAAAAAGTACCTTTAAATATTTAAATACTCAATGAGAGCATTAAAAATCGTAGAAAATTCTATGGCAAATAAACTCATTAAAGCTCTCATCTAAAAGGCTTTAAGAAATTGACGAAAAAGTCGAGACTTGAAACAAGACGGCGAGAAAATATTCGTTATCAATTCTCGTTTATTTGTAAAAGAAAAAAATTGTTACTGCCAGTCAGTAGATGTCAATTTGGCAGCACTGCAGCAATAGAGGGAGGGTTCACGAGACGTTTTCGCATATCGTAGCAGAGGTTACGTTCGATTGCGTTTGATGCAGCGATATCGTGTGTGTCTCTCGCCATCCCTCGCGCTCGAAGATATCGCGCGTTAATCGCGACACATGGAGAGAACGATGTCAGAACAGACGGCTTCGCAGACGCAAACGGAAACAATCTCCGAGGCAGACGTCACCGATTCCGGATCGCAGGTACCTATATTCGTCGTGGGGATTCTAGATGATTCTAAACGTCACGAGGCGTCTCTAGGTGGTTTTCTTTTTTCGCCTCGACGCGATATACGATTGTTTGTCGAGGATTAAAATAAACGCCAACCACTCTTATTGTATCTTGACAGTTCGACGTGCGACTCGCGTTGTCTCGGTATCTTTTGTCGGATCACACAAAAAACTACGTCATATTCATAGATATGAGACACGAGATATTACGCGTGTGTTCTGTGTTGCAACTGCTATCTCTATGGGATTTAAAAGGAGTCTTTTGACGATCTTTTTCTATTTTCTGTCAAATAGTTTTTATTTAATACAGTATCTTTTTATAATAATATTAAAATAAAAGAAGCGTATGTGTGTAAATGCCCACTTTCGTAACTGGGTGTATTTAAATGACGCTTTAATTTTTATTACCCTGTTTTTTATTTTTTTGAACAAATACATCTGTTTCTTTGAAAAACGCATTTATTACTTTTATAGTACTACCACGCGCGCGCAATTCTACTAATTTTATCATTTAACACAGTTTTTTTTCCCCGAAATGGGGACACACTCAAATCACAATCAGTTTTCTTGATCGAGTGCATTGATCTCTAAATGATTAGTCAAGAAGATAGTGTATCTTAGCTTATACGCTTTAAAATATACTATGGTGCATCCGAATACACATAACAGTTTAATATGATGCTTAAAGTACTTGCAAGTAGCGTGCGAAACCGCGCGGCGAGCAACAAATATTTCTCGAGTGAGGGCAGATTAAAAAGCTGCGGGCATGAATTTTGCACGGCCGTCGATGAGAATCGTTCGCCGTTGAACGGAGTACGAGTTCTGGATCTGACGAGAATCGTGGCCGGCCCTTACTGCACAATGGTCCTGGGTGATCTCGGTGCGGAGATCTTGAAGATCGAACGACCAGGCGACGGAGACGAGACGCGCAAGTGGGGCCCGCCGTTCTTCCAAGGAACGCAAGAGTCGACTTACTTCATGAGCGTCAATAGAAATAAGAAGAGCGTTTGCATTGACTTGAAGAAGGGCAAAGATATTATTTACGAGCTGGCGCAGACATGCGACGTCCTGGTAGAAAATTATGTACCGGGGAAGCTGAGCAGGATGGGCCTGGGATACGAAGATGTGAATAAGATAGCGCCACGTCTCATCTACTGCTCGTTGACTGGTTACGGATATAATGGACCGTATGCAAATAGACCAGGTTACGATGTCGTCGCTGCTTCCTTAGGCGGTCTTTTGCACATTACCGGGCCCAAAAATGGACCGCCGTGCAAGGTTGGCGTAGCGATGACTGATCTGGCAACAGGCCTGTACGCTCATGGAGCAATTATGGCATCTTTGCTACAAAGGTCGAAAACCAATAAAGGCCAATGGATACAATGTAATCTCTTGTCAACTCAAATCGCAAGCCTGATAAACATTGCGTCAAATTACTTAAATGGAAATAAGGAGGCTACCAGATGGGGATCTGAACACGAAAGCATAGTTCCTTACGAAGCCTTTCCCACGAAAGATGGATACATGACGATCGGAGTAGGAAGCAATGCGCAATTTCTCGAATTAGTCACAAGATTAGAAGTGTCAGAACTTACTACTAATGACAAGTTTAAGAGTAATACAGCTAGAGTTACAAACAGAATGGAACTACTTGAGATCCTTAGAGATGTAATTAAAAAGAAAACAAATCAGGAATGGTCTGCAATATTTACAGGGGCTTCGTTCCCTTATGGAGCAATAAATACTATAAGAGAGGTGATTTAACTAATCTAATCTTGATCTTGCGATGCATTACCTCTTATACAATTTAATAAATTTTGTTTTTTTTTTTAACTGTAATTTCAGGTATTCGACGACGTCCATGTGAAACACATCAAATTAGTTCAAGAAGTAAAGCATCCAGTTACGGGCAAAGTGAAACTTGTTGGACCACCTGTGACATACAGCTACGCTACTAATATAGTGCGATCAGCACCACCAACATTGGGACAGCATACATCAGAAGTTTTAAAAAATATATTAAACTACTCTGATGATAAAATAGAGAATTTGATCAAACAAAAAATTGTGCAATAATTTATGAGCATCAGTCCCTTTCTATCTATACGTTTTAATGAAGCAATTAAAATTGGATATTTTTATATTAACGAATTTCTCAATTTTATACAAAATTTTTAGAACATAGTTCGCTAGTAAGTTTATATGTAAGATTATTGTATGAACATATATTTTATATTATATGTATTATATATACATTATATATTTTAAGATTAGTATAATATTTCATATATTATATATATATATATATATATATTACATTTTAAGATTTAAAATTTTATCAAGTATATACAATAAAAATGCCAATACGCCAACGGATGGACGTGTATATGCAACAAGTTTATATTGTCTAAAGAGATAGATGAAAAAAAACATAAATGTTACGGCCCTTCGTTTTGTATTCTCTTCGGTACTAATTATTAAACAATCATAGTGTCGAGTGTTAACAATAAAATTATATTAGTAAAAATTCAAGAAACTGCTGTCAAATGGAGTGAGATGCATTGTTAAATGATAGTTAAATAATCATTAAATTAGATATCCAGGGTCTCTATCATGGAAAAAGTCGAAATAAATTCCGATTAGAATTATTCCATTTTCTCCAGAAAACAATAAAAATCTAGAAAATAATTGAATAATTCCAATTAGAATTCATTTCGCTTTTTTTCATGTTAAATGCCTAGAAATAAAATGATAGGTCAAATCTATGCGACTATGAAATCATAGTTGGAACTTGAATTAATCTGGTCAAATGTAATAAATATAATAAAGTGTTAACTGAAGTTAATTGACTGATATCATAATAACTTTTATAGTTAATTCAACACATTTAATTATTATTTAACGATTATACTGAAGAGACTCCAAAACAAAGATTTGAAACTTTTATATTTTATCTATTTATACTTTTAGACAGTAACTTTCATACATACGTGCACATATACATACACACGTAAATCCAGTGTAGGCTAGTATTTCTATGGTATTCAATTTAATTCATTAGAGCCTAAAACATTTTAATTTGGTTAAAATTTTATATCTTATAAAATTGTTATTTTGTACTTAGTTATAAGAAAAATAAAATTTTTTAAAGTTTATTTGTCTTTACATTAACATTTTTACTATATATATTGTAACAAATATCTTTTTATAGTCACTACTTATAATTTAAAATCTGATTAAGGGCCCTCGAGCATATATCTATAGTCACTTTTTTAGATATAATAAACGAGAAATTCTTTGCGACGTACTTGTAAAAAAACGACAGCACCTAGAACATTGAAAAAATTATAGGATATTCTTTGACATGCCCTTTGCGCGCGGAAGCGAGCTGAGATGCCTCCATAATCCAGAACATGTGCCAAAAAATAATTAAAAATTACCTTTCCAGAAGCTGTCAAAGCGCATAACCTCGTAACCTTGCTATCATGATAACGGAACAGTAGGCCTCGTTCGATATCATATGGAATATAATAACATTTTCATTTACTTATTGTACAATAAAGAAACATTACGCGTAATTGTATATATATATATATA